ATTTGCAGATGATGGCAAGAAGTAATATGCTAGATGGTGAAGAAACAATCCTAAGGATGGGCAATGGGGCAAGAGTTGCTGCTAAAGCTATTGGGACTGTTTATCTAGCATTGAATAATGATGTAAAGATTTGTCTATCAAACTGTTTGTATGTTCCGGATTTAATAAAAAACATTATTCTATTCCAATATTGGATAAGGAAGGTTTTAAGTTTGTCATTGAAAATGGAAAATGTTCTATTTTCAAAGACACAACTTTTATTTATTCTGGAAATTTGACAAATGGGTTGTATACCATTACACCACAAAGTCCCATCCTAACCATTCAACAAAATAAAAGGAAATTAGATAATCATAGTTCATTCACAATTTGGCATGCTAGATTAGGTCAGATATCCGAAAAACGGATTCACAAATTGGGACCTAAACTCGACCTTAGGGGAGAGGATAGGTTGCCTACATGTGATTCATGTCTTAAAGGTAAAATGACTAAATCACCATTTGTTGGACAAGTGGAACGAGCTAAAGGTTTGTTGGATTTGATCCATACAGATGTTTGTGGACCACTAAACGTTAGTGCAATGGGGAACTATCACTATTTCATAACCTTCACTGATGATTATTCACGGTATGGTTATGTTTACCTATTGAGGTACAAATCTGAAGTATTTGAAAAGTTCAAAGAATTCAGAAATGAAGTGGAGAAACAAATTGGTAGAAATATTAAAGTTCTTCGATCAGATCGAGGAGGTGAATATTTGACTAATGAGTTTCGTGATTATTTAAAAGATAATGGGATTGTCTCACAGTGGACGCCTCCTGGAACTCCACAACTCAATGGGGTTTCAGAAAGGAGGAATCGAACATTGTTGGACATGGTTCGATCGATGATGAGTACCACTGATCTACCTCTTTCATTCTGGGGCTATGCCTTAGAAACAGCAGCATATATTTTGAATAGAGTGCCAAGTAAAGCTGTACCCAGCACACCTTATGAGATATGGTGTGGTAAATCACCCTCATACAAATATTTACGAGTATGGGGTTGTACTGCTTATGTAAAGCAGTTAGTGGGAGGTAAGTTGGATATGAGATCCATCTTATGTAAATTTGTGGGGTATCCTAGAGAGTCTATTGGATACTATTTCTATGATCCCTCTGAACAAAAGGTGTTTGTTTCGAGGAATGCTGTATTCTTAGAGAAAGATTTTATCTCAAAGAATAGCGGAGTCATAGAACTTAATGAATAACAACCACATATTCCACTAAGTACCACGGAAAACATACCAGTAGAGACTGGACCATCTAAAACACAACCTCTTCGGAGATCCGAAAGGGTTTCTAGGGCGCCTGAAAGGCTATACCTATTGTCAAAAGACAATGAAGAGGGATTCCTTTTGGATAATGATCCAATAAGCTATGATGAGGCAATGTTGGACATTGACTCAGATAAATGGCAAGAAGCTATGCAATCCGAAATAGATTCCATGTATTCAAACAAAGTATGGACTTTGGTTGATCCACCACAGGGTATTGTACCCATAGGTTGTAAATGGGTTTACAAGCGAAAACGTGGTGTAGATGGAGAAGTAAATACTTTTAAAGCAAGACTGGTTGCTAAAGGTTATACTCAAAAACAAGGTGTTGATTATGAGGAAACTTTTTCACCAGTAGCAATGCTTAAATCTATTCGGATATTGCTAGCCATAGCTGCGTATTATGACTACGAGATATGGCAAATGGATGTGAAAACTGCTTTTCTTAATGGAAATATTAAGGAAGACATTTATATGAAACAACCGCAAGGTTTCATATCCAATGGGAGTGAACAAATGGTTTGTAAACTTCAAAGGTCTATTTATGGACTTAAACAAGCTTCGAGGAGTTGGAATATTCGGTTTGATGAAACGATCAAAACGTTTGATTTTCATAAGAATCCGGATGAACCATGTGTTTATAAGAAGGTTAGTGGGAGTGCAGTTACATTTGTTGTTCTATATGTTGATGACATCCTACTCATTGGGAATGATGTAGGGATGTTGCAGTCAACTAGGACATGGTTGTCAAAACAGTTTTCCATGAAAGACTTGGGAGAAGCATCCTTTATCCTAGGGATAAAAATCTATAGGGATAGATTTAAACGGATGATCGGACTATCCCAGTCGACGTACATAAATAAGGTGCTACAACGGTTTAGCATGGAAGAATCCAAACGAGGATATATTCCAATGAGTCATGGGATTTCTCTTTCTAAGACGATGTCTCCAAAGACACCTGAAGAAAGAGAACGGATGAGTCATATACCTTATGCATCAGCTATTGGTAGCATTATGTATGCAATGTTATGTACAAGACCTGATGTGGCTCATGCACTTAGTGTAACGAGCAGATATCAGTCTAATCCAGGTGAAGAACACTGGAAAGCCGTTAAGATGATTCTTAAGTACTTACGAAGGACTAAGGATATCTTTATGGTATACGGCAATGGAGAACTGAAACTAGAAGGCTTTACTGATTCTGGTTTTCAGTCCGATAAAGACGACTATAAATCCATGTCTGGATACTTATTTACTCTGAATGGAGCAGCAGTTAGTTGGAAAAGTTCCAAACAAGAAACAATTGCTGACTCTACGACAGAGGCTGAATATATTGCTGCATCTGATGCTGCAAAAGAAGCTGTTTGGATAAGGAACTTTATCCAAGGGTTGGGTGTAGTACCATCCGTTGTTGATCCAATAATGATTTATTGTGATAACAATGGGGCTATTGCGCAAGCAAAGGAGCCAAGATCTCATCAAAAATCCAAACACATTATGAGGCGATACCATTTGATTAGAGAAATCATTGGTAGAGGCGATGTCGTGATGGAGCGAGTCGACTCAGCAGAAAATATAGCAGACCCCTTAACTAAACCCTTATCACAGAAAGTGTTCGAAGGACATCTTGAGAAGATGGGTCTTAGATACATGAGTGATTGGAACTAGGGCAAGTGGGAGATTGTTAGAGTAGGGTACCCGGCGTTCCAATCTAATTGGACGTATTCTACTTGTAAATACAGTCTATTGGAATTATATTATGAATAAGGCATTTCTTTATCTTAAGAGAAAGCATTTATCTTATAATTGCACTTAAGATAAAATCCCTAGATCACTTATGGTTATAAGGTATGGTTGCGCATAGAGATGGTGATCATGGAACATACCTTGAAAGCCGTGATCTTAAATACAGTTCCAAGTCGATGGATGTTTCGAGATGGGATATCGAATAATCCATAAAAGACTTGCACATAGTTTGTATGCTTGTTGGACAAGAATGTTGCATTCCATCAACATTAGCGTAAGACGTAAGTACATTTATGTGGGTGCTTGTTAGAGAACAAGTTCACTGAACATGACCGTATGAAAATTCTTAATGAAGAATTTATTCAGTCGAATAAGAATTTTCATGTTACAATAGTACATGACTAATCCTAAGACTTGAGGCACAATGGTAACTTTGTGCATATTACATTCTACTTTGATTTATCCTTTTGGTAGCTAGCACTATCGTTTAAAGGGATAAGTTGGGTATTATGTTAATATGTATGGAAGTTTGTTAGTGGCCAATAAAGGATTCGACACTTATGAAGATAAGTGAATTTCCTATGTGTTTCATAGTTATTAATCCAAAGTCCTTGGCCAAGGCAGAGATGAATAGTGATTCATAACCGGGTTAATAAACATGAAATAGAATCATAGTTATTAAGTCAATTTGGGTTTCGACAAAATCATACCCAAGACTTAATCGGGAAATTAGATGTCGAAAGGATTTTACATGTATGGAGTTGTAATCGGAATAGGTTTACTCGCTATTCACTTAATACTAGATTCATGATACTTGCTAGGTGTTACCATGATATGTGGGTTCATGAATAAAGGGGTTAATTCTTGAATAAGAGTTAATAAGATTTAACTCAAATTACAAAGTGTTGTAAACCCACTACTAGTATTAAGGTGAACCTAAAAAGTCACACCTATTATGAACAAAGGTAAAGATTGTATTTCTAATGGTTAGAATTAATTGATAAATATCTAATTTGATTAGATATCAATTAAAGGAATATATTAATCAATAAGATTGATTAATTACATTTTGGATATTACTTTAGTAATTAAGGTAATTACTAAATTAATAAAGTTGAATTTTAAAATAGGATTTTAAATTTCAAAATCCAAAATAATAATAATATGATTATTATAATATTGGGAAAATGATATAATAATAAAGTCTTGAGAAAGATTCTCAAGATTTATTATCCAATTATTATTTATATCTTTAAATATGATTTAAGGATTAAAATAATAAATATGATTATAATAAAATGGTTGTTGATGGTTGTTTGAACTACTTAACATATCTTATTATTTTCAAAGTCAAAAGTTAGTAAATACTATTTAAATAAAATTTGATTTTATTTAAATATTACGAAATGTTGATTATTTTATGCTAAAATGTTTAGTATAAATATGTGCAAAATGGTTTTGCATTTAAGAGAGGTTTTGATCCTAAATTTCTAAGTGTTAGAAAGAGAAGAAAGTGTTCTTCATAAAACTTCAAGAAAGAGTTCTTAAAATTCCCAAATAAAATTCATAAATATTCCTATACAAGAAAACCGAGTCTTTTCTACTAGCGAAGGAAAGTCGTCGGAACCGGGCTTCATAGGGTGGATACGTTTAGAGGGAAGACACCTGGATTCCTCTAGCGAGTAACCTCAAGTCGTTGAAGTTACAACCGGGAACCGATTCCCTCATTCATCATCAATAGTGAAGGAGTTCAAGACATTCGGTAAATATTTTACCAGTATTTACTTTATAGTAACAAATCAAAATTTGTATATGATGCATGTTTTAAAGATGACGATCAGTTAATTTGCAATTAGTATGTACGGGTGTTGTATTTATACGATAAATACTTACTTTAAAAATTTTAAATTCCGCTGCGTACAGCCCGTACGGTACTATCGAACCCAACAGAAAAGAGGGAGGAAAAGCCATAATTTCAGCAAACTGCAGGACTCGCGGCCATGACATGCTCCGCGGCCCGCGACGAAGGTAATCTCGCGGCCGCGACATGTCCCGCTGCCGCGACTTCAGGAAGCAGGAAAATTGGTATTCTGACTCGCGCCCCGCGGCATTGCTCGCCGCTCGCGACCACATCCCGCGGCCCGCGACGAGTATTCTTGGATTCGTTGTTCGGGCTCGTAAACGCTTATCCGGACTCGGAATTGACTTCCGTTTTTTGCTATGTGTCACTCACGAACTCCTTTATTCATTTATGTCTCCAAACTAACTTTTCTTGGAAAGAGAACTCGCTCGACCCCCGACCTACCATAAGAAAAATGACACAACACGAAACATAAAACGGGAAAAAAAAATACACGAACAACTCACAAAGACTCAAATAAAGAGAAAACACATAATCGAACACTAAACGAACTAAAAATGAAAGAAATAACCTAAAATGGGGGAAAAAGAAAGATAGAATAAGCACGAAAAACATAACAAAAATGGGACAAACAACTCCCCCACACTAAACCTTTGTTCGTCCCGAACAAAAAGAAAAGAAAAGAAAACACACCAATGAGTAAAGACAATGATTTCAAGCGAAACCAATCTCAGACTAATCAATTAAGTCAAGAAGGATTCAAATAATCACAAGAACACACCTCAACTAATAACTTTGTTTATTTTGAAAAACATAGACTCTCAAGTGCATATTTATATCATGTATGCCTCACTCAATTTCTTTTCAAATATCAATGGGATACGCTCAAATTGGTCATCAATCGAATCAATCATGAATTTGGCTATCGTCTAACTTTTACTTTAAAACAATCAAATCAATGAAATAATGAATCAAGAGGACTTTTTAGGGATGTAAAGTAGGCTTTTTGGATCGGGTAGGATAAATATAGGCTATGTGGCTAAACAATAATCAAAATTTTCTCCATTCATTTACCTAACCATGAGCATAGACTTTTTCCGATTGTTAAATATCAACCGTTTCCTCCCATATCTTCAAAACCAATGCGATATCCTTATTATTCAATCTTCCTCTTTTTCTTTTTTTGATTTTTTTTTTTATTTTTTTTAATGATTTACAACATCGATACTAATCAACTCCCAATCTCTACAACTCGCAATTCAAAATATAATCATCAGGGGGTATTTAAAGAAAGAATCAATATGGTTCAAAGGGGCTGACTAGCGGATGTATTTACTTAAAATAAGGATAATACAACGAATGCCTCCATCATATTCATATCACACAAATTCGACTAATTTATTTCAAAGTAGACTCAAGGCAAATCCTAATTGACCACAATTCCGACCAATATCACACAAGAAAAGAAACGAACATGGCTCAAACCTCACAAGGTAAAATATTCGTCAATCAAAACAACCAAGTATTTCATCGAGATATATCACTTGTTCATATTATCGCAACTTCTTAGCTCAATCAACCGTTATTGACTACTACCACAATTCACCACAGTCTATACTCAAAAACATAACACAAAATCCTAGAAAGAAAATAAGCAAAAACAATTCTAAAAATTAATTCACATAGCCACACAAAAAACCCCCCCACACTTAGAATGAAACAATGTCCCCATTGTGTATCCGCAGTGTAAAAAGGTTAAACCACGCAATCAATCGACTCAAAAAATAAAATAAACTATTCAAAAGCAAAAAGAAGGAAAAAAAGGACATACAGAGCACAACGAGAAATCACTGTGCATCCGATGGTGGCGGTTGTGGAAAATCGGGGTTGCTCGATCCCGAACCCCAATAGGTATCCCACTGGGTGAAGCGCTGATCCCAACGGTCCATGCGAGCGTCTTGCTGATCCTGACGCTCGCGAATGGACTGGAGCCCGTCGGTGAGGCCGTCGAAACGAGAGCCCATGTCTGTCCACTTAGTTTGCTGCCGGCTCTCCCAGGTATTCCACTGGTCCGTCTGCTGGGTCTCCCAATGAGTCCACTGGTTTGTTTGTTGTGTCTCCCAGTTGGACCACTGAGTGTTCTGTCGGCTCTCGAGGTTCGCCCACCTATTGTCCTGGGCATCGAATCGGGTGTGGATGTCTCGGATGTCGGAGGCATATTGGGTTTGAAAGGAGGTCCACTTGTTTTGGTAAGTCGCCCACCATTCCGGAGGTTGTTGAGGTGGGACGTCGGTGTGATGGTGCTCAACTGGTTTCGGGTCGGGTGGTGGTAGGTAATAGTGTTCTTCATCTGTATTCATAGGGTCGTGCTCGTCATCATTAACCGGTTGTTGGGACGTCCCGGCCTGATCAGTGGTAGGTGCCTCACCGCGTTTGAGCTTCTTGAAATAGGTGTCGTAGGCCTTTCTCTTCGTGTACTCCCGTGAGGTGGTTCGGAGATCGGCTTGCTGGAGCTCATGTTCATTAATACACCTCATTGGCTCGCCTTCCATGGACCACGTCGCGTCGATAAATATGGGTTGATCGGGGATGCCGAAGTGTTTGGCCAAAGCCGTCACAACGTGTCCGAGAGCCGGTATGCCACGTTTTTCGAGAGCCACCTCTTGCAAGGAGTTTTGCAAAAAGTTCATCGAACACACCTTCACTCCCGCGCGCATTGCCCATACAAGATAGAGCTCGGTTTCACTCAGTTTGTTCACCTCCTTTTTCCCCGTGATGTTATAGGCGATGAATCGGTGCACAACCGCTGTGGCTAAGTCTTGAACTAAGCCGTTTGGCATGCCACGGGAGTCCCATGTAGTGTCGGGGGAAAGTTCCTTCCAACTCGTCTTTGCGTTGAAATCTGCCGGTTTGCTTCGTTTTCCGACTAGGTTGAACTCGAAGACTTTCTTCATCACGTCGTTATCCACGGTGACATCTTTCCCCCGCATCCGGAAAGTGAAGTACTCGTTCCCATCAGCTAGTACAAACGAGCTAAAAAATTTGAGCATAAGGCTCCTATACGACTTCTCCTCGATCTGGGCATAATTGAGGAGGTTAAGTACTCCTAAATATTTCTTGACGTCGGCAATGATGCCCAAGCTCCTCAACACGTCCCAGTCGATCGCCTTTGGTCGCACTATCTCCTTTTGGGAAAGACGAGAATATATTTCGCCCTCTTTCCTCGAGTAGATTGGGAAAGAGGCACCGTATTGTTGTCGGAGGTCGACCCGGTCACTTCCCTGAGGGGCCTCGCGGTTCCCTTGGCCCGAGGATTGGGCCAATTTTCGTTTCCCGGGGTTGGAGGGTCCGGCTTGATCGGTATTTGATTGGCGTCCCGACTTTTTACCCATGGTGTTATCTCTCGGGCAATTCGGCAAACACGTTGTGGGCAAGATTTTTGTCTTTGGAGCTCTTAAAAAAATGAAAGTGATGCAACCCAATTTTCTCAATTCGACTGCAGCTATCCACCAATCACTACACCGTATAATTTTTCGAAGTGAAAGCTAGGAGGGCGTTACCGGAAAAAATGATCGTCGACGAGGTAATGGACACGGAGCTTCGTACGGGATGAAGTGATACAGCTTGGTCGTTGTTGCTGCACGAGGGATTGACCGTCGGCGATAATGGCCGGAGAAAATGACGCCGGAGATGGTTGGTGATCGGAGAAGACAACCTTAGGCTCCCGATTTTTATCCCCAAATGCCCGGATGAATTCTTCCGTGAGGATGGTTGGGTGAGATTTTTGTTCACGAACAAATTTCGAGAGTTTCGTAAGGATTCGGAGAGGATTTTGATGTGTGAAGTCGAAAAATCTTTTCGCCGGATATAAGGAGAGAAAATGGATTTGGAAAAAAAATGACCGTCCTTCTGTCTGATATCTGCTTAAATCGGGAGAGTCGCGGCCCGCAGAGAGACTCGCGGCCGCGAAATAAAAATCCTGGAAATTTTTTTTGCCAAGTCGCGGCCCGCGGAAGGACTCGCGGCCGCGACATCAAAATGCTGGGAAAAATTTTAATGGTCTCGCGGCCGCGACATCAAAATGCTGGGAAAAAAACTCGCGGCCCACGGCAAAGCTCGTGGTCGCGACTTCAGAGGACATAAATTCCACCTCGTTGCCCGCGACCATTCTCGCAGCCCGCGGCGAACAAAGGTTCCGCGGCCGCGACTACCCCCGCGGCCGCGACTACCCCCGCGGCCGCGACTTCAGAGGGCAGAAAAAAATGAAGAATCCTCGTGACCTTCTTCGCGACTTGTGGCAACTCTCGCGGCCCGCGGAGGGCTTCGCGGCCCACGACGAAC